CCTGATGTAGGTCCCTGAGCTCATTCCTCATAAACAAGTGATGTAATCCATCTTTAAGAGAAGAAAGCAAAAGGACTGACCTAAGAGTGTCTTTGATATTTGACTTAAACCTCAATCCTTTACCAATTACATTAGCAGAACATATGCCTAGGAGGATAGCAATTATGTGATTGATTGCATACCAACATTTGCAGCAGGCAGACAGAGTATGTGAAATAAATAGTGGTGGTTGTGGTTCTTTGTGTCCAGAAGCTAATTTGGATGGTTCAATGGGTAAGACTAGCAAGAAAGCTATTTTGGCAAAGAAAAGGATTTGGGATGGAAAATAGTGACAAGCAAAAAAGAGGCTACTTAAGACATAAGTGACTGTGGCTAACAAGAACAGATGAAGATACTTTGACAGGCAAGACGTGAAAAGTTGAAGCCCTGGGACTTAATTACAAGGGGCAAAATAAATAAATTGTTTTTCAATGGGTCTCCACCTGCTCCCATTAACTACCAATTTTCTTCTAAGAGAAGGTTGTGTTTCTACCAGCCTGTTAAAATTGGATGTCCTTGCAACATGTTTACATTACAAGATCTGAGAATTAACATCTGAGCTATTTTAATTCCATCTTCCCATATTAACTTTCATTGTAATTCATTAGCTTTTAAATATTACACATTCTGTGCCAAGATTGATAAAGAGGTACTAAGAATCCTCCTTGCTACCCTAAACAAATTCCAAAGGCAGGCAAATTACCTTGCAGCACACTGGAGAAACCGGCAGATGTAATCTAAGAATCACTGACTGGAGTTCTCTAGAGAACTGGTGAGTTGTCAGAAAACTGGAGAAGAACAAACATAACCCCAATGTTCAAAAACAGGAGAAAAGGGAAGACCTGGAGAACTACAAACCAGTTAGTTTAACATCTGTACAGGACAAGTTACTAGAATAGATTGTCAAGCAGCACGTCCATGAGCACTTAGAAAAGGATATAATTATTACTATCAGGAGTTAGCATGAGTTTGTCAATAATAGGTCACATCAGACTATCTTCTCTTTTTATGAGAGAGTTATTAGTTTACTAGACCAAGATAATGGTGTGGATGTAATGTACCTTGATATCAATAACAAATTTGAAGTGTTTGATGATATCCTGGTGGAGAAGATGGATAAAAGGTACTACAACCAGCAGAAGGTACTGCAGGTCAGCAGATTTACAATTGGTTTAAAAAAACACACATCCCAAAGGAGCTTGTAATGGTTCTGCATTAACTTGGAAGGAAGCACCCACTGGGGTCTCCCAGGGCTTCATCCTCAGATCTGTGTTATCCAACTTCTTTAGAGGATCGAATCAAAGTAATGCCAAGCTAGATATTTAGCTAGCATCTTAATATCTTCTCTCAATTCAATAATGAATGATCTCAACAGGCTTGAACAGTGGACCAAAGTCAACAGGATGATTGTCAGTTGTTTTGTCTCTAAATAAGAAAAATCATATGCATTATTACAACATTGGGGAGACCTGGCTTGGCAGCAGTACACGTGAGGAAGATTCAAGAGTACCAATGGACCACCAGTTGATTATCAGCAAGTTGTGTGATTCAACAGTTAAAAAGCCAGTATGATGGTAAAATAGATGATTTTCAAGCAACTTCTCAGGTTTAAACACCTGGCATTTCCAGATTTAAAGGAAAAGGGTAGACCGCAGGTGATGAAACAAAATCTCTGCTATGAAGTGTACTGCCAGTCAGAGGGCACAGCCAGAGAACTGCGTTAAAATTCAATCCACCAGTTTTTGATCTGACAGATAAGTATGTGAGCATAAATTACACTGTCCCAGTGGATGAGCCCTAGACTGTCTCAGTAATGAGGCCAGTGACTGGTGCTATCCTTAACATGTTTAATATGGGACGAGTTAAGGAAAGCAACTTGTGGATTATGTTCCACCAAGCATCAACTGCAGGTAGGAAAAACAAAAACCAATCACCCTCCTTAACAGGGCTGGTAAAGCAGAGGTAGGCAAATGTAGGTGAATGCTTTGAATTGCAGGTTTAGTCACCTGTCAGATCTTGAGAGTGCTAGACCCATTTCAGAAACACCTATCTGACAGATCACAGGGGCAGAGAAGGGGTTGCAAGGAGCACTGGGGGTTCTCTCTCTCCTACTGAGCTCCCTCCTGCTTTATCCCATGCCCATCTCTATGCCTGTAACCTGTCAAGAAGAAGCATAGAGAAAAATGGGAGGGAGCAACTGATAAGAAGTGAGTCCTGTCCTGAACGGCTGCCATTGTCATAGGCAAAGTACATCCCATTCTGCCCCTCCCAAAGTAATATAAACAATACAAACATGTAACCTCTTTTTTGGGGTGAAGCAGTGGAAACCCAGTAATATACTTATTGGTGACATATTCAGTAACACATAGATGGCAGATTCAAATCACACAACACAGGCTAGCTCTTTCATAAAAGCAGCAGGTTTAGTGCTCTTTCAAAAGGCTGCTAATTCCATATATATAAGGAACCTGGGCATGTTTTGGTACCCACAATAACCTAAAGTGGCAACCCAGTTGCCAGGAGCTGGGCAAAAGCCAGCCCATAACCACATTATCAACCAAATTGTTAACAAACCATCCTAAATTGTGTTCCCAGCAAAATTTATGTTGGGGAAAAAAGGGAACACACTACTTCCCAACTGGACAGCTAAATATACTTTTCAGCTGCATTAGCTATGGACTTGGGATATGACAAAAGCAACATCATAGCAGCAACATATAATATAAAAACAGTTACTGGGGTATGCTAGGGAACATAAGCTCAGAGTAAACAGTACTGAATTAGATAAATCTAAGTACCTAAACCAGTTTCTCTGTTTTTAAGGAAACTACTTTTTTTTTTCAACATCACCTGTGTTTTTTAAAGTAGTAACTTAGCCTTCCATTCAGGTGGTGGCTTTTTCATGGACTGAGAATTCTGGGAGTTGTAGTCCCAGCACATCTGGAAATAATTAAATTGTGGAAAGCTGCCCAAACTAGTAAAAATCCTGTTCTGTGGAAGTTCACAGAAAGGACAGAAATAAGTACCCATGTTGCCTTTTTTTTAACTCCATATTTGGGTTGGCTTCTAAAATGTCATTATTAGCACCATTTAATTTGCTATTTTTTTGTATGAATGTATCAGTGAACAAAATTCTTTACAGTACTACAATATTAAGGTCTTCAATTTAAATCATGCCAATGCAGATGTTACTAATTACTCCAAAAGCATAAATAAGTATACAAACCGGATGATTCCAGCTGCAGAATAATTCAATTAAAGGAGGGCTCATAATTTTCAGGGCATGAATGAAAACTAGACCAAGCTGTTAGGGAATCTGGAAAAGAGCAGCTATCATAGTGCTTTTGCTTCTGAAAGAGTCATAGACCATTTTAACATGTGATCACATGCAGAAATTCCCTAAAATGCAATAATGTGAAAAATCTTTAGCTATTGTAGCATTTTTTGAATTATCACCTGCAAAAAATGGCCTTATATATAAGCCAGGGCTTATTCTTCTCAATTAATGATTAATTGAATTGGAGCACTATGTTCATTTATAGTTCTCCAAGAAAAGATGCCATGGATAAGATGATACAGGGCAGTTCAGGATAATATGAAAAATGAGATATCATAGCCTTGGCCTTTTATACACTAGAAAGTTTATGGGTTACCATTTTCAAAGAAATACCAGATAATATTGGAAGTAATGCTATCATTTGTTTGATTAATGTTTTTTCATACTTTGAGGAAGAGAAGGAAAATTACTATATTAAAAAGGAAATGCTACATATTCATAAAATAGTGTGAATATTGTGAACAGTGTTTTACAACACCCACACTCACTATTTCAAAAAGCAGTAATCCTTTCACTGTTAAAGTTTATATCTGAAGGCATAATTGTATATATCTGCAATTCTTCTTTTGATGTACAATGCAATTTTTCAACCAGCATCAAATAAAAATAAAAGGAACAAGATTATTTAACTGGATGCCTAACAAGCTATTATTAAAGTGGGCTTTTCTCTTCTATAAACAAAGATAAACCTCTCCACATAGATATAAGTATAGGAAGAGAAGAAGTGGAAAGATAAGCTACATCTATTATGTAAAGCACCACAATGAGCGTATAGGTATGCATGTGTACATATAAATATATGAACAGCATTGTTTGCAAGTTAAAGAGAATACTGTTGTTCGATTCCCAGTCTATAATACTGTTTTAAGTTAACATGATCAGAAGGAATTATTCTTCTTTAAAGCTAAAATCCTAGAGAATAAACCGCATTAAATACAACGGGATATGCTTTAGGCAAACAGAGTTTGTAAGGTAAGTTATATATGATGGACCCAGGTTTGGAAAAGCAAGGAGATGCCCATCTCCTTCATAAAAAAAGGAATAAGTAGGTAAACAGAACTTCTACTCCTAAGGCTAGAGCGATACAAGTCACTGACCCCATTTTTAACACAGTACCTTGCGTCACTTGTTGAACTGCCAGCATCATCCCAGAAACTATATCATGGATCAGGTCCATTTTCCAACAATAGTGTGGTGCCCACTCCAAAACAGGCAGCCTGCTTACACACCAAAGTTTGAAGTCTTCATAGCGAAAGGCGTGGATCTTCCTCCATATGGCATTTTCCTTTTTCCTCTTTGTTCCTGTCATGCTTTATTTCCACTTTCCTCCTTCCGTTTGGATAATTCCTTTTTCTGTGAAGAAAAAAAACTCCCACTTCTATGGAATTGCACCAGATTCTTCTATCAGATAATAGTTTCAGAGCTAGAAGAGAAACACAGCCCGCTTGCTTGCTTGCTGCTAAGCATATTTTCAACTGTGTAAATACCTAAAGCCTTATGTTCAGCATAGTATTTTTCTGTCCTAGTCAGAAATATACCCTAGTCCTATTACAGTTTATGATTCTCTTTGCAGTCATTCTCCTCCTTATATTCAGTGTAGTGATTTTGCTTTTGGCCTGGATCCAGCATTAAAATGAGGTAGTGCTGGGCGTACGTTCGATGTGGGATGGGCTATGCTAATGTAATCAGGAAGTGCCCAGCTAGACATGAGTCTCCTTGCCAACCATTATAAAAAAAATAACTGCCGTTACTGTGAGAAAACACAAAACCTGCCTGTCTCTACCCATAGCAAAGATTCATCAGTGCATTAAAAAGTGCCTTGAATTCCAGTGCTACTAAACATACTCTGTAACTTTAGCTGGATCCAGATTTGTTTGATTTTTTTCTTTCCTGCAACGTAATATGTTAATTAAAGCATTCTCTTTTGAAAAGAAGTTGGGATTAGTTTGTTCTTGGCACAGTTGATACCTGTTGAAAAGGCAAAGCAGTTTTTCTGGTATACTGGCAGAGAAAGCCAGAGAAACGAAGACAAGGTTGCCATTTAGCCAGAAAAGATGAACCCTGACCTGGCCTGTTCCTGCTGCTTTAAGAAGGGCTTGCTATGCATAAATTGTCAGGTGCTCTAATCTTGACCAGTTGGATATAAATATGGTCTGCAGGCATACACATTGACACTGATTAAAGTGCTGATAAGGGAACAGCTAGAAAAGCTGCCAGTCCCAAGAAGTTACCTTATACCAGAATCAGACTCCTGGCCCGTATTGTCTGCTGTGATGGCCGTGGTAATCTGTTCTCAGGGAGAACAACGGACAACCCTAATCATTGACACAGCCCTCAGTATAATTTCAAAGCTGTTGTACAAAAAATCAGTCATGCTGAGCACTGACTTCAGGTAAGAACAACCTATCCCTTCCCTGCAACTTGGGGGAGAGAGAAATCGGAAAATAAAAAATATTGAATATGCTGACAATAGGGATCCCTACTTATTTTGTCTTCAACTCTGCCCACTCTGTAGCTCCAAAAAATTATTCCTGAGGGAATTTGATCTGCAGTAGAAGGATTGTCCATTCCTACCCTGGGGAAACAAACAGGGGTCCTTTCTTATTAGCTATTATCTGCTCTCTTGAACTAGAGATGGCAAGGATTCCTGCAGGGGATCTGTAGAGAAAGATGGCGGTGTCAAGATGATCTGCTCCAGAAAGAATCTCTGTTTGACACAATCTAGCAGAGAGGGCATCTGTTTCCCCAGGGCTCCCTTCCTTTGGAACAGAATGGCTCCTTCCCTTGCAGAATTTAGGATGCTCTTCCACAGAGCCTTCAAGGACTGAAAGGTGGTGTTAGGTGAACAATGATGGTGTTTGTCCTGGTAATTAAAATGAGGGTGCTGATGTTATGAGCACTGGGCTATCACATTTTTATTAATTTGACTGTGATATTTTTAAAATTTATCCTCTTGATGCAGTATTTATTGTAAGCTGTCTACAATCATACAAGCCATACTAATAAATAAAAACATGTGTTGTACCACCGAACTATAAGTTCGATCTCTTGTAAAGCCCTCTGCATCTGTGTGCTTTTAAAAAACATACCTAAAATGTTGAAGTGCACAAGAAAGATAATGGGGATTAGGGAAAAATGTTTGAAAGACATTTGATGGTCTTTGTAAGTAAACTGGGAGATACAGAAAAAGCACATGTGTAAATGGTGTGACATTTAGTGTTTTACTGGTGGAACAGAATTTATGAAACATGGTTTTCTGGTTTTTATTTCTAACAGCAGTTTCAACTCCACCCCTGAAAATGCTGCTTAGGGGTTTGAAGAATCCTCCTAAACTGAATTGGCTTGGCACAAGGGAGGACTCCAAAAATGAGCTGGAGTCACTGCTAGAAAGAGTTGAACCCAAAACTGTGTGAACCATTCAGTGAAGTTTGGTGTAATGGCCAAGGTGCTGGCCTAGAAACCAGGAGATTGTGAGTTCTAGTCCTGCCTTAGGCATGAAAGCCAGCTGGGTGACTTTGGGCCAGTCTCACTCTCTCTCAGCCCAATCCACCTCACAGAGTTGTTGTGGGGAAAATAGGAGGAGGAGGAGGAGGAGGGAATATTATGTATGTTCACTGCCTTGAGTTATTTATTAAATAAATAAAGGCAGGATTAAAAAAAAATCTTAAACAAAAAGTTAGGAGGGGACATTCAAGAAACTTTCTTGTATAACTGGGTTAATTTTTCAGTGTTTTGGTCCAAGCTCTGTTTCTTCCCAATACTACAAGAAACCTGGAGGTGTTTCTAACCCAAAGCTGTCCACCGTATGATATATCTGTTCCTTTTTAAATATCCCAGGAGAAACACAACATGGCAATGTATAAATGCCTATTGTCATCATAACCACTGATATTTGAATCATGTTGGTGAATTTTGTTTAAGATTGACATAATCATTATTACTATTACTGTTCCATTTATATGATTGTCAACACTGCAACTCTTCTTATTCAGCAGTGATATAGCCTGACAAAATTATATACCAACATCAGCCCATGAATAGAAGGGAAAGGTTGCCCTGGGTGAATCTCCTTCTCCACATCTGAAGTATTTAAGGAAAAAGAGACCATCATAGATTTAGCTAACAGATTTGTGATTTTCTGGAAGAACCATCATAAATGCATCATATCCTACCTGGCCCACAAAAACTTACAAGCGAGTGTACAATGCCAATTGTTAAGTCAGTTGCGATAAGCTAGTCTACGTAGCTTAGTTCCTTCAAACCCACTGGTTTTCATGGATTTAAAACTTGTACAAAATAAGAGTGCTAGCATGTAATAAACTGTAAAGTATGTCTTGATGCAATTACAACACATTAAAAACTTTTCCTCACCACTACATATTTAAAACATGTACGAAGGGTATTTTTCTACCCTTATTTATTTTATTTGTTTATTTACTGAAGCTTCTATGTGGCTTCAGTCAAACTGACTCCAACAGCTTACAAGCTATTGACAACACAAGTTAAATATCAGCTAAATGTGGCAAGGCTACAATTTGAAGACATATAACACAGCAACTTTTGTAAGCCTCCCAGAGTCTTTGTGGAATCAGGCCATCTTAACAAATCTAACAAATAAATAAATACAATTTCCTAAAGCAAACCAGGACTATGTCAGATGTATACTTGGATGAACTACCTCTGAATTACATGCATGATAAAGCACACAGAATGTAAGGAATGTGTAAATGATAACAATCATCCCCTCCTTGAACACCTGTTAGCAACTAGAGGTAAAAGAATTTTGGAGAATATCTGTAGCCCCAGAACCGAATGCCTTTAAGGTGATAAGCTTATAAAAGTGAACATCAGAAAATGATGACATATTAGTTCCTCCAGTTGGAGATATGGGTATTGTATCCTTACCTTGTAATAAATTTGTAACTGTTAAGAATTACTAGGAGTTTAAAGACATCCAGTGGAGAGAGCAATAGAGACAGACTGCTTTTGTTACAGTGGAAAAATTGGGATTTACATAGTATAATAACATAAATAACTGAGGATCCATAGTACCTTGCAGGGTGATTAATCTAGCCCTGATAAGTACAGCTACCTAGCTATACAATTTCTAATATGCAATTTGTACCCAGCGTGTCTTATTTTATAGCTATTTAATCCCCTCTCTCCTACTGGCAGTTTATATAGCTAATATGCTTTCTATGGAGACCATTCTCTAAATATCTTTAATGCCTAGTGATTTCTTATTGTCCCTAACTCAAATACTTTCTCCAGATGTTGTTCTATTGAATATATGATTCTACTATAAAAGCCTAGGCATTTAAGTATCATACATTTTATAACAGCATCAAAGAAAGAAGGAAATAAAGGCATTCTGTTAAAAGTATATACTATCCTTTTGTGTTTACATGTAATGGAAACGATTAGGTAACAATGTGAATGTCAAGTAATCCAGTATATAAAACTCATTAAGGATTTTCCCCACCATCCCAGTGGGTAATGAATAACATTCAAACTAATCTCCTTTGCATAAAAGCCATTCATCTTTTTCTAAAATGTGGTTTCTAATTTTGACAAACTTCTACTCTCAGCTTATATGAAGTACAAAGCATCACTGAAGAATGCACAGAAGTAACATTGCAAAAGACAAAAGAGACAGACCATAGAGTGTAAATGCAAAAAGAATCTGGAGTGCTCTTCAGCCCAGGGATGTCAGAAAGATTTATTTCATGATTTCTTATGCCAAATGCAATTTTACATGCAGAGGAAGCTGGAGGAGGTGGACTATCTGGATCGCTTTCAATCAGGGTTCAGATCTGGATACTGGGTAGAAATGATACTGATTGTGCTCATAAGGGACTTCCAACAGAACTGGCTTGGGATGGGAGTTGAACCTCTTAGTCCTTTTCAATTTGTTAGCAGCATGCAATATCATTGACTACAATATTCTTCTTAATTGCCTAAGATTCGGAGTTTGTTCTACTTCTTCCTAAGTGTATAGTTCTACTGGTATTAATGGGAGAAGAACTCAAAACTATGGTCCATTAAGGATCTCAGGCATTCTAGATTAAGGCAAAATTTATCTAGTTAAAGGATGGTTTTCTTATTGAAGACAGAACTTCTGTTAAAATGAATCACTACAAAACTTTATTGCACATAAAAGTATGGTTAATATAAATGGTATTATATGAGGATTTCTTAATATGACTTGTATAGGATATGTTTTATTGCTGTATTATAGTTGTTAAATCCTTAAAGGCTTGACAATCATTTTATGTTTTCTTTTCTTCTGAGTGTCTTTATTGAACAAAGGCAAAAGGGGCAGCAAGGCTCAAGAGCCTCTCAAAACCAGCATTTCTAAGGTAATTGAATAAATACCTTATTGATATCAGAACAAAAAGACCAAAAAAACACAATGGAATTTCCAAAAGTATAACTCCCAGCCCATGGGAGAATTATTTTTCCCAGCTATATTCACAAAAAAATTACTGGTTTGTTAAATAAGGCAATGTGTTGAATAAAAATCTAGTGTGAAAGCACCTTTTGTCCAGTCTCATATAACTATCATAC